GTGCAGGGCTGGGGAGGATGGCGTGGGGAGGACAGTGGGGGACAGGGGGGTGCAGGGCTGGGGAGGACGCTGTGGGGAGGACGGTGGGGGATGGAAGGGTTCAGGGCTGGGGAGGACGGCGTGGGGAGGACGTGGGGGATGGGGGTGCAGGGCTGGGGAGGACGGCACGGGGAGGACGGTGGGGGACGGGAGGGTGCAGGGCTGGGGAGGACGGTGTGGGGAGGATGGTGGGGGACGGGAGGGTGCAGGGCTGGGGAGGACGCTGTGGGGAGGACGGTGGGGGACGGGAGGGTGCAGGACTGGGGAGGATGCTGTGGGGAGGATGGTGGGGGACGGGAGGGTGCAGGGCTGGGGAGGACGGTGTGGGGAGGACGATCGGGGACGGGAGGGTGCAGGGCTGGGGAGGACGGTGTGGGGAGGACGGTGGGGATGGGAGGGTGCAGGGCTGGGGAGGACGGTGTGAGGAGGACAGTGGGAGACAGGGGGTGCAGGGCTGGGAGGACGATGTGGGAGGACAGTGGGGACAGGAGGGTGCAGAGCTGGGGAGGATGGTGTTGGGAGGATGGTGGGGGATGGGAGGGTGCAGGGCTGGGGAGGACGCTGTGAGGAGGACAGTGGGGGACAGGGGGGTGCAGGGCTGGGTAGGACGGTGTGAGGACAGTGGGGGACAGGGGGGTGCAGGGCTGGGTAGGAGGGCGGGAGGACAGTGGGGGGCAGGGGGGTGCAGGGCTGGGTAGGACGGTGTGAGGACAGTGGGGGGCAGGGGGGTGCAGGGCTGGGTAGGACGGTGTGAGGACAGTGGGGGACAGGGGGGTGCAGGGCTGGGTAGGACGGTGCGAGGACAGTGGGGGACGGGAGGGTGCAGGGCTGGGGAGGACAGTATGGGGAGGACGGTGGGGGATGGGAGTGAGCAGGGCCAGGGAGGATGATAGGGGACAGGAGGGTGCAGCCTGGCCGCAGAGCCATCGCTGGGGAAGGCTGAGAACCCACCTAGGCTTCAGTGAGTCACAGCGACAGTGGCCTTGGTGGGAGTGATTTTGGCAGCGCGGTAAGGATGGGCTCTGGAGAGAACAGGAGGAGGCAGTAGAGGGAGGGAGGACAGACAGCTCTTTCAAGATAAACAAGGACATTTGGGAGGCACTTCGTTTTATTGTTTTGTTTTAGGATGCCTGCTCTTTTACTTAGCTAATCCCTGGGGGCAGGTCATCTCTTGGCAGGTCTGTTAAACAGTAGCAGGATGCATAGCAGCCCCCAGATTTGTTCACCTCAGAATGAAATGTTACTTGGAATAAGGGTCTTTGCAGATATAATGAAGGTAAAGATCTAGAGATAAGACCATCCTGGCTTAAGGTGGGCCCTGGATCCAATACATATCCTTATAAAAGGAGGTGGCTGGGTGCAGTGGCTCACGCCTGTAATCCCAGCACTTTGGGAGGCTGAGGCAGGCGGATCACATGGTCAGGAGATCGAGACCATCCTGGCCAACATGGTGAAACCTGTCTCTACTAAAATACAAAAAATTAGCCGGGCATGGTGGTGTGCACCTGTAATCCCAGCTACTCGGGAGGCTGAGGCAGGGGAATTAATGGAACCTGGGAGGCAGAGGTTGCAGTGAGCCGAGATCACACTACTGCACTCCAGCCTGGTGACACAGCAAAACTCTGTTTCAAAAAAAAAGGAGAAGGCCAGGTGAGGTGGCTCACACCTGTCATCCCAGCACTTTGGAGGCCAAAGTGGGAGGACGGCTTGAGCCCAGGAGTTTGAGACCAGACTGGGTAACATGGCAAGACCCTCTCTCTACAAAAAGTTAAAAAAATAAAATTAGCTGAGCATTGTGGTGGGTGCCTGTAGTCCCAGCTACTCGAGAGGCTGAGGCGAGAGAATCACTTGAGACCAGGAGTTTGAGGCTTCCATGAGCCGTGATTGTGCCACTGCATTCCAGCCTGGGTGACAGAGCAAGGCTCTCTCTCAAAAATAAGCAAATACATACATACATACATAAGTAAATAAAACGCTCTTCAGGGCCCAGCATGCATGTCTGCAGTCTGTACTGAGTTCAAACCCTCTGTCAATACTGGGAGCGTCTGTGCATGGATTTTGGATTCTGTGTATTGGGAAATCTGGCTGAAATCTGTTGCAGCTCTCTGGCAAGTTCCTTTCACCACTCCCCACAGACTCACGCCCTGAAACCACACCAGGGGCCGCCCTCACTCACCGCAGGGGACAACCACCCACCAAAAACCATTTCCTCTGCGGATGCTTCCGGCCCAAAGGAGGAACCAGAAGCGGGCAGGATGGGGAAGCAGCCGGCAGAGAAGCCAAATTGTTTCCTTAAGAGAAAGGGATTTATGGGAGGTGGAGGTTGCAGTGACCTGAGATCGTGCCATTGCACTCCAGCCTGGGCGACAAGAGCGAAACTCTGTCTCAAAACAAACAAACAAACAAAAAAAAAACAGAGAGAGAGAGAGAGAGAGTGAAAGGGATTTCCTGAGCCTCCCGGAGGTCGGCTGGGTAATTTTCCTTCGTCCGACCCTCTCCTTGGCCCTTGTGCAGCCACCCTCATCCAGATCCAGATGGCACGAAGCCTCTGGACTCCGGTTTCTGACTCGTCTCCCAGGAGCCGGTTTCTGTTTACCGCTGAAAGGCACAGCCTGCTGCCAAATTTGAGGTGTGAGCTCACCAAGAAAGCAGCACTGCGCTCCCCCGGGAGCTTCCCAAAACGGGCCGTTGCTGCCCTCGGTTCTGCAGCAGAGATGGTGGCCGTGAAGACAATGAGCCTGCCTACGGGGTCACTGCGTCCGGTCTCACTCCAGCCAGGCTGCCGGCCCGGCCCCTGCCTCCGTTTCCCTTGCTTTGAAATATCAATGGCTGCGCCACCTGCTCCATCCTGCTCTGCAGCGCTGGGAAGAGCCTTAGGGACTGAAGTCCAGCCTGCTGCCCAACTTCTGAAATGAGGACGGTTGGCCAGGCCGAAGAAAACAGAGCCAAGCTGTGTTTCGGGAGACACAGAAGCCGCCAGATTCTCCTACCTGCTTGTTCTTGTTCCTCCCTTAACCCACTCTGAGGACCGGGGCCTTACGGGGTGGGGAGCCGTACTGGCGCCAGGGTGGGCAAGGTGGAGGCCAGCCTTTTTGGGGACACGATCCTAGTATTAGAATGTCCATCTTTTCTAGTGACAGACCCAGGCGGTAGGTTCTGGCACAGCCATCTGCCAAAATCTTTCCTCCAAACAGATGTGCCTGTTTAAAAAGGAGATCTAATGCAGGGTTTTAGCAGCAATGTAAGGGCCATCAGTAGTCAGGTGTGGTAGCGGGTACTGGGGGACGCTGAGGCACAGGATTGCTTCAGACCAAGAGTTCAAGACCGGCCTGGGCAACATAGTGAGACCCTATCTCTACAAAAAAATTTTAAAAATTAGCCAGACACGGTGGTGTGTGCCTGTAGTCTCAGCTACTCAGGTGGTGTGTGGGAGGATGGCTTGAACATGGGATGTCGAGGCGGCAGTGAGCTATGATCATACCACTCCAGCCTGGATGACAGAGCAAGACCCTGTCTCTAAACAACAACAACAAAAAGCAAAACAAAAGGGAAAAAACAGGAGTTCGAGACCAGCCTGGCCAACGTGGTGAAACCCCGTCTAGGCCGGGCGTGGTGGCTCACGCCTGTAATCCCAGCACTTTGGGAGGCCGAGGCGGGCGAATCACGAGATCAGGAGTTCAAGACCAGCCTGGCCAACATGGTGAAACCCCGTCTCTACTAAAAACACATGAAATTAGCAGGGCGTGGTGGCAGGTTCCTATAATCCCAGCTACTGGGGAGACTGAGGCAGGAGAATCGCTTGAACACAGGAGGCAGAGGTTGCAATGAGCCGAGATCATGCCACTGCAACTCCAGCCCAAGCAACGGTGAGAGACTTCGTCTCAAAAAAAAAAAAAAAAAAAAAAAAAGCCACGCGCGACTGTAGTTCCAGCCACGGGAGTCTGAGGTGGGAGGATCACCTGGGCCGGGGAGGTTGAGGTCACAGCGAGCTATGACTGTGCCACTGCAGTCCAGCCTGGGCAACGGGAGTGAGACCCTGTCTCAAAAAAAAAACAAGAGTAAAAAAGGTGAACATGATTGTAAATTATACTTCGTTCTAAAAATGCACAGAACAAATCAGTATTTGCAAGACGCGGTGCAGTCCCCAGCACGGAGAAGACAACCTGCGAATTCCACGACAGAAGAGCTGCATTTCCATCAGCCAGGGCCCTGCGGGTGACCACGCCTGCAGACCCCACTCATTCCCCAGAAGGGCGCCCGGGGAGCAGGGGCCAAGGGAGGAGCCCGGCCTGGGAGCGCCTGCGCACGCCTGGAGCTGCGGCGAATTGGGGTGGGGGCGGCGGCCAGCACTGGGAGACGTTCGGGAGGCCAAGGAGGCACTGGCCGAGGTGAGCCCCGTGGGAAGCGGGGGCTGCCTCCCAGAGCCGCAGGGGCCCCTCCCCAAGACCCCTCCCCCAGATCCAAACACGTTTCCGAAGATGCAGACCCCTCCCCAACGTAGACCCCGTATCTGAGACGCGGACCCTCCGCCGATGCAGACCCCTCCGCCAGTGCGGGCCCCTCCCCCAGGTGCGGACCCCTCCCCCAGTGCGGGCCTCTCCCCCAGGTGCGGGCCACTCCCCCAGATGCAAACCCCCCACCAGGTGCAGACCCTTCCCCCAAATGCGGAGCCCTCCTCCGGGTGCAGACCCCTCCCTCAGGAGCAGCCTCTCCCCTGCATGCAGGCCCCCTCCTCCAGGTGCAGCCCCCCTACCGGGACGCGGCCCCGCTCCGCCCCGCCCCGCCCGTCTCACCCCGTGACGCATCCAGGCCCCTCCCCATCCCTCCCTCTCCTTCTCCCCTTCCCCCGCCTGGAGTCCCCCTCGCTCCTCCGCCCGCGGCCCGTAGCCGCCTCGTCATTGGCCAGAACGCTTCAGGTGGCGCGCTCGGGATTGGTGGAGGCCTGCGTTGCTCCCGCCCTCGGCCCGGGGCGCGGCCCGCGATTGGCTGGGGCGGGCAGAGCGTCTTCTCCGGCCTGGGCGGCGCAGACGAGGCCTGAGGCGGCGGCGCGAGGCAGGTGAGCTCCGGGCGGGCCGGGCCGAGGGGACCCTGGGGTGGGTGCCGGACTGCGGAGAAGCGGGGCGGGGGCCGGGAGGACGCGGGGTCGCGGCCTGGGCGCCCTCTGCGCGGGCTGTGCTAGGGCCTCCTGGGCCTACGGCTGCCGCCCCCGCCCGTCCCGCGCCTCGCAGCTACCCCAGCCCGCGCAGGTGAAGACGCCCAGGGACCCTGGGGGTCGTGGCGCGGGGGTCCTGCTCCTTCCCGGGGTGTCGCCGGCCGGGCCAGGGCGCGGGGTCGGGGGCGGAGCGGGGAGAGGCGCGGGAGGCCGCGGCGGGTAGCCCGGGCTGGGCGTGGAGGAGCGTCCTCCCCGCGTTCTCAGGCCTCGGCCGGGGCTGCCCGCGTGGACCCCGCTGCGGGGTCCCAGCCCCTGGAAGTAGCGGCCGGGCCGTGGGTGGGGTGGTGGGAAGGCGGTTTTATTTAAGAGGTGGGGTCTCGACCTCCTGAGCGCGAGCGATCCTCCCGCCTCCGCCTCCCGAAGCGTTGGGATCACAGGCGTGAGCCACCGCGCCCGGCTGATACTCGTATTTTTTGTAGGGTTGGGGGGGGTCTCTCTGTGCTGCCCAGGTCGGACTCTTAGGCTCAAGCGATCCTCTCGCCCCCACCTGCCTGGAGGCGCGCGCGCGGTCTCCGCGCCCTGTTGCGCCTGCAAAGTGCCCGGAACGGTGTCTGGCGCAAAATAAGCAGCGGCGGGGAACACCTTGCCACTGTCACCGTCACGGGGGGGGATTTCTCCCGGCCGCCCAGGGCTCCCCGGGGCAGAGGGGCGCTGAGGTCCCACGTCTCTGCTCTCGCTTTGCAGCTTGTGGTTGCTGCGCCTGGCTCTGATTCCAGGTGGGAAGCTGCTCATAATCGTGTCTTCTAAGCTTCGGTAATAGTATTGCCCGTGGAGTGCTTGCGGCTCTGATTGCTAATGCTTTGTATGAAGGCTTTTGTGTGCAATCCGTTTTTACTCCCTACATCTCCACTGTGTAGAAACATCGTGGGTTTTGGTTTGTTCTCATCTGTTGTTGGACACTTGATAGTTTTTTGAACCCTTTAGTTTTCTCAAATTATTTCTCCAACAGTTTCCTCTTATTTGTTTACCTTTTTTTTTTTTTCCCTGAGTGTTTTGGAAATACTGCTGTTTGGGCTGGAAGGCTTGGGCTGGCTTTATAATTTTCTTATCTTTCTTCCATTTTCTATTCTACTTTCTAGATTTCCTCTTTTTCTTCCAATGTATCTATTTAGCATTTTAGTTTGGCCATCGTATTTTAAATTTCCCAGGGCTTTTTTTTTTTTCTCCTTTAAAATTTGTGATATGTTTTTCATAAATGCAGTATCTTCTCATTCACCTGCTTTTTTTTCCGATTGTGCTAAAATACATGTAACATAAAACAACATTACCACCTAGTTACATAACTTTTTCATCATCCCAGATGGAAACCCTATACGTGTTAAGCAGCCACTGCCCATTCTTCCGTCTTCCCAGGCCCTGGTAATGGCTAATCTGCTTTCTGTCTCTATGAATTGGCCTGTTCTGGAGATTTCATGTAAATGGAATTATACAGTATGCAGCCCCTTGTGTATGGCCTCTTTCACTTAAGATAATGTCTTCAGAGTTCATGCATGTTGTAGACTGTATCAGTATTCCATTCCTTTTTATGACTGAATAATTGTGCATTGTATAGATATACCACATTATGTTTATGCATTAGTCTGTTGATGCTCGCCTGGGCTGTTTCCACCTGTTGGCTCTTGTGAGTAATGCAGCTATTATGAACATTTGTGTATGAGTTTTTATTTGAGCACCTGTTTTCAATTCTTTGGTTATATACCAAGGAATGGAGTTGCCAGGTCATATGGCAAGTCTGTGTTTAGCTTTTTGAGGAAGTGCCAAACGATTTTTCGCAGTGGCTGCACCATTTTACATTTCCATCAGCAACATGAGAGTTCACTTTCTGCACATCCTCCCAACACTTAGTTTCCAAAAAGGATGACCATGCTAGTGGGTCTGAAGTGGCTTCTGATTTGGCTGTGATTTGCATGTCCCTGATGACCAGTGAAGTTGAGAATTGTTTCATGTCCATGTTGGCCATTGTATATTTTTGGAGAAATTCTCATTCAGGTCCTTCCCCGCCTACCCACCCAACCCCCTGCCTTTTTTTTTTTTGAGGCGGAGTCTCGCTCTGTCACCCAGGCTGGAGTGCAGTGGCGCGATCTCGGCTCGCTGCAAGCTCCGCCTCACGGGTTCACGCCATTCTCCCGCCTCAGCCTACGGAGTAGCTGGGACTACAGGCACCCGCCACCACACCTGGCCATTTTTTTTTTGTATTTTTTTTTTAGTAGAGACGGGGTTTCACCATGTTAGCCAGGATGGTCTCGATTTCCTGACCCCGTGATCCGCCCGCCTCGGCCTCCCAAAATGCTGGGATTACAGGCATGAGCCACGGCGCCCAGCCTTTTTTTTTTCCCCAGGCTGGAGTGCAGTGGCACAAACTCAGCTCACTGCAACTTCTGCTTCCCGGATTCAAGCGATTCTCCTGCCTCAGCCTCCCGAGTAGCTGGGATTACAGGTGCCTGCCATCACACCCGGCTAATTTTGTATTTTTAGTAGAGATGGGGTTTCCCCATGTTGGTCAGGTTGGTCTCAAACTCCCAACCTCAGGTGATCCACCTGCGTCGGCCTCCCAAAATGCTGGAATCACAGGCATGAGCCACCCTGCCTGGCCTCTTTCTCCTTTTTTAAATTGGGTTGCCTTTCTTTTTTTTCCTCTATTTTTTTTTTGAGTTGTCAGAATTCTTTATTCTGTATACTAGACCCTTATCAGATACATGATTAGTAAATACTTTCTCCCAGTCTTTGGATTGTTTCTTCACTCTCTTGTTAGTGTCCTTTGATGCACAAATTGATGAACTCTAATTTTTCTGTTTTTTCTTCTGTTGCACATATTTTTGATGTCATACCTAAGAACTCTGAAAAATCAAAGTCAGGAGGATTTGTCCTGTGTTTTAAGGGTTGATCATTGTAGCTCTTGTATTTAGGTTTTTGATCCATTTTGAGTTCGTTCTTGTGTGCGGTGTGTGGTAGGGTCTAACTTTGTTCTTTTGCATGTGGATATTCAATTGTTCAAGCATCATTTGTTGACAGGACTGCTTTTTCCCTATTGAGTGGTCTTGGTGCCCTTGTCAAAATCAATTGACTATAGATGTGTGGGTCTATTTTTGGACCCTGTTCTGCAGGTCTGTATGTTTTTATGCCAATGTCACACCTTTTTTTTTTTTTTTTTTTTTTTTGAGATGGAGTCTTGCCCTGTCGCCTAGGCTGGAGTGCAGTGGCGTGATCTCGGCTCATTGTAGCCTCCACCTTCTGGGTTCAAACGTGTCTCCCGCCTCAGCCTCCTGAGTAGCTGGAATTACAGGTGCACGCCACCACGCCCAGCTAATTTTTGTATTTTTAGTAGAGACGGGGTTTCACCGTGTTGGCCAGGCTGACCTCAAACTCCTGACCTCATGATCCCCCCACCTCGGACTCCCAATGCCACACTATTTTGTAGTAAGTTTTGAAGCTAGGAAGTTGGGGTCCTCCAACTTTGCTTTTGTTCTGGAAGATTTTTCACTATTTGGGACCCTTTGCAGTTCCATATAAAGATTGGTTTTTCCACATTTGCAAAAAAGACCATTGGGGTTTTGATAGAGACAGTATTGAATCTGTACATCACCGTGGGAATACTGCCATCCTAACAGTATTAAGTCTTTCCATCCATGAACATGGAATGTCTTCCCATTTATGTAGGTTGTCTTTAATTCTTTCTACAATGTTTGTGATTTTCAGTGTACAAGTGGTGCACTTACTTGGTTAAATTTATTCCTAAGTTTTTAACACTTTTTGATGCTATCGTAAAATGAATTGTTTTCCCAGTTTGACTTTCAGATTGTTTATTGCTAGTGTGTACAAATGCAACTGACTTTTGTATTGATCTTGTATCCTGAAACTTTGCTGAGTTTGCTTATTAGTTCTGACAGCAGTTTTTTGGTTGATTCATTAGGATTTTCTAGATATGAGATCATGTCATCTGAGAATAAAGGTAGTTTTACATCTTCCTTTCCAATTAGTATGCCGCCCCCGCCCCTGCTTTTCTTTTTTTTTTTTTTTTTTTGAGACGGAGTCTCGCTCTGTCGCCCAGGCTGGAGTGCAGTGGCGCGATCTCGGCTCACTGCAAGCTCCGCCTCCTGGGTTTACGCCATTCTCCTGCCTCAGCCTCCTGAGTAGCTGGGACTACAGGCGCCCGCCACCGCGCCCGGCTAATTTTTTGTATTTTTAGTAGAGACGGGGTTTCACCGTGGTCTCGATCTCCTGACCTTGTGATCCGCCCGCCTCGGCCTCCCAAAGTGCTGGGATTACAGGCGTGAGCCACCGCGCCCGGCCCGCCCCTGCTTTTCTTAACGAATTGCTCTGGGGAGAACTTCCAGTATGGTGTTGAGGAGCAGTGGTGAAAGTGGCCACCCTTGTCTTGTTGCTCATCTTAGGGGGAAAATTTGAATACGGCATTCACTGAGTTTTTCACAGATGCCCTTTATTGTGTGAGGGGCAAGTTCCCTTCCATTCCTGGCTTGTTGAGTGTTTTTGTTGTGGAAAGGTGTTGGAGTTTGTGAGGTGCTTTTTTGTACCAATTGAGATGATCACATGGCTTTGCCTAATTGCTTCTTGAACAGATTGTGAGTATTCAGTTTCTCCTGTATTTTGGTTCCATCTTATACCCTCACTTCCAATTGTAACCTAGTGCCACTATTTTTGGAGGCTTTTGGGGGTTCCGTGATCGTGTTCTCCACTGCATGCTTATGACTCAACTTTTTCTGGCCTAAGACAGTTTTTATTCATCTATCTAGCTCCCCAGAATGTGTTACTATTTTCTTTTCTCCCTTTCTTTTTGTTCTTAATGAAATATGCCCTTAAAAAATAGCCCTTTCTCAAAGGGCTCC